TTACCCTGCTACGAGATAAAGAACATCAGTGAATTTGACTGGGGAATAAATGAATATGCCCTTTTAGCCAATCGTTATGCCATGGAACCGTGTTCACCATCCATGATGAACACGGACCCAACGATAATAGTACCGTTATCTTTTTTTTTTTTTTTTTGGTTCTTTCTCTAAATTATCAGCGCGACTTTTCTTATTCATTTTCACATTTCGCAGTTTCACTTCCTCTTCCCGCAAGCTTCTTCAACACTCATAAATTATGAATGTGCAGGCATAGATTTATGAATGTGCAGTTATGAAATAATGAATATTCTTTTATGAGATTATGAATTTTCTGTTATGAAATTATGAAGTTAGTAGTTTTCAAATCGACATATATTGAACCCATAGCTATGAGTAAATCATTGTTCTTTATTTATTCCTTTGCCATCAATAACTACCCATAGCTTAACTCTACTTTATGACACGGTATCAGAGCATGGACATGGTATCAGAGCTTGGAAAACAAAGAATGTTGGACGAAAATAGCGAGATTTCCAGAACATAAGATTGATTAACTAATTTTAATTAATTAACTAATTTTAAACTAACACTCTAATTTTAAATTGTTTGCCTTTTCAAGAACATAAGATTAAAGAATTTTGTAAATTAAAGACAGATAAGGTTGAAGAAAAATATACTAGCTGCTATACGAAGATGCCCAATAGTAGGGGTGACCTATGTCTTTCATCTTCTACAGGACCTTAAAAGCCTAATGTAAAATTTATTTATATGTTTATGTATTTTTTTTATTGGATGTATTTATTTATTTATTAAACTAAATAAGTAAATATAATATTTTCTCTTAATGTATTTATAAAATTTTTGATGTCAAAGATATTTGGTAGGCAATCCACATTCGGTCCTGATTACAGGATATGCCACCATAAATGACTTACCCTACTATGAGACAAAAAACATCAGTAATTTGACTAGGGAATAAATGAATATGCCCTTTTATCCAATCATTATGCCATGGAACCGTGTTCACAATCCATGATGAACACGGTCCCAACGGTAATAGTACCCAATAGTAAAGACAACTAAGGTTGAAGAAAAAAAAATACTAGCTGCAATAAGGGGGTGTCCAATAATAGGGGTGACATATGTCTTTCATTCTCTACCAGACCTTAAGCCTAATGTAAAATTTATTTATATGTCACCAAAAATGGCTTTACCCTGCTATGAGATAAAGAGCATCAGCAGATATGACTAGTGAATAAATTAATATGCCATTCTAGCTATGGTTAAATGTTTAGACTTTTGGTTAAATGTTGGGCTGAAACTATTTGAGTTTATGTAAATTAATTGCCTAGGTTTATATTCTGTGATATTAAGTTAATAACAGATGGGGTATATGTTGGGCAGCTCAAGGATACAGCATGACAGCCAGGCATGTCATGCCTAAGATAGTAATTTTCAAATCAACTTGTATTGATCCATAGTCATGGAGAAAGCATTCTTCGTTTTTTCTTTCTTTTCCATGAATGAGTTTCCATAGCTTAGCTCTGCTTTCACGACATGGTATCAGAGCGAGGACATGGTATCAGAGCTTGAAAATCGAAGAATGTTGGACGAAAATTGCGATATTTCCGGTAGTGATTATATCCCTACCAAATTTAATTATCAACCCAAAAAAATATTTAATAATTTGTCAAGTCGTAAAAAATGTTAAATCAGCAATAGCTTATATTTCACAATTAGTTGGGCCATGGATGCACAGACGGGGTAAACACGTACAAATTTATATAATGAATTAACTAATTTTAATATAACACTTCAATTTTATATATTTATTTATTTATTACAGTTTCAAAAACATAGGATTAAAGAATTTTAAAAATTAAAGATAGTTATGGATGAATAAAAAATACTAGTTGCTATAAGGACCCAATAGAATGGGTGACCTACCTCTATCCTCCTCTAACGGACCTTAAGTATAATGTATGCTTTATTTATATGTTTATGTATTTATTTATTTATTAAACTAAATATAATGTTTTACCTCAATGTATTTATGCTATTTCTGATGTTGAAGAAAGAGATTTGGAAAGCAATCCATATTCTATCCTGATTACAGGTCACATAATCACACAACCAATCCAATCTTTCTTCCTCACATAATAACCCAACCCAACATGAACGACTCTCTGTTAAAAGCTTGTCAATGCTTGCTCAATGGAATTTGTGTTGTTGTTGACATTCTAATGTCAGTTAACCCACAAATTCATTGAACATTTATGGTGTGGTTTTCGATTTAGCCATTACTCTGTTTGCACTTGTGTTCACTACCACAACTGTAAAACTCCCACTCTTTGGAGCAAATAGACCTGGCAATTCATGTATACGGGTTCGTTAACGGGTCAACACGATAACGATACGACATGGCACGGTATCAGAGCATGGACATGGTATCAGAGCCTGAAAATCGAATAATGTTGGACTGAAATAGCGGGATTTCCAAACAGTGATTATATCCTTACAACATTCCATTATCAACCCAAAAAATATTCAATAATTTGTCATGTTCTAAAAAATCTCATCAGCAGCTCATATTTAACAATTAGATGGGCCATGGATGCACAGACAGGGTAAACATGTACAAATTTATTTAATTAATTAACTAATTTTAATCTAACACTTCAATTTTAAATTTTTTGCCTTTTCAAAAACATAAGATTAAAGAATTTTCTAAATTAAAGACAGCTAATGTTGAAGAAAAAATACTAGCTGCTATAAGGAGGAGGTGCCCAATAGTAGTGGTGACCTATGTCTCTCATCCTCTACCGGACCTTAAGCCTACCTAATATAAGATTTATTTATTTGTTTATGTATTTATTTATTTATTTATTTTTGAAGGGATGTATTTATTTATTAAACTAAATATAATGCTTTCCCTTAATGTATCTATAAAATTTTTGATGTTGTAGAAAGATATTTGGTAAGCAATCCACATTCGTGATTACAGGATATGGCACCATAGATGATTTACCTTGCTATAAGATAAAGAACAACAACGAATTTCACTTGGGAATAAAAGGATATGTCATTCTAGCTAGGCGCACCATCCATAGAGTAATGGTGATGAGGTCAGCATATATTGAATACCCCAGAATTCACAAGGCACTACCATCTAGGGTGGGCAATTCGGATAAACCGAACCAAACTAGTAATATATCAAAAAATCGAACAGTTCAGAATTCTTGTTCTCCGAACCGAACCGAATACCGTTTAACTTTAATAATAATAAATCTAAGTTCCTTGATGCCTGCTCCGTCATTCAATTCCTATTCTCACTAGTATCTCTCTTAAAAATTTTATAGTATCTGTTCAAACATACTTTCTCAACCTAATGAAGCATATAGAGTCAACAACGCCTCTACTGAAGCTCAATCTCATGACCTCCCACATAGGAGAAGTCACTACATGCCATCTGAGCACAAGGTGCTTGACACCTCACAATTAGTACTTAGTATATGTTTGAACTTTGAATAGCTATTTTGTTATATAATGTTTTGATTTTAGATATGAATTATGTGATTATGTGAATATGTATTGTTTGGTAGTATGTTCAGAAAATTAAGAAATGTTAAAATTTGAGGATCTTAAACCGAACCAAACTCTAATGTTAAACCGAATGGTTTATTTTTTTTTTAAATCGAAAAACCAAAACCGAAACCGAAAAGACCAAATCGAAACCCAAAATGTTCACCCCTAGTTCTAGTTAAAAGTAATGCTCGCACTATGACAGAGTCTCTAAATGCAAAGAAATAAAAAAAGAAAATGCATACATCAAGAATATTTTGTACATAGTACATACTAAATGCAAAGTTAGTTGTCAGATTATTTGTAAGAGTAGCTTTGCGAAAGCTCTTCCTTTGAGAGTATATAGTGTGTTTTTTTTTCATGGTTTTTATATGTCCTCCAAGGAAAGAGTAAATGAAGAAAAAGAAAACAAAAAAAAAACAAAAAAAAAAAACAAAAAAAAACAAAAAAAAAAAAGTAAAGATGAATGCGCCCAGCTGGTGCGTGCATGTGCCACGCTAGGCACGGGATATGCGCCAAACGCGCATCAAAGCAGTATCTTTCTTCCATTTCTCTCTCCAGTTAGACAAAAAAAAAAAACTTAAAATTGCAGGAAAAAATCACTTTCCACATTAGCTAAAAACCATCTTCGAATTTTTTAACTACAAAAACTAGCAAAAAATCATTAATGAGAATGCTCTTACAAGTTTTTATGTTCTCAGAAAATTAATTAATTTCACCATAAATACACTTTTTATTTGATTAATTAATATTAAGTATACATACACATTTCTACATGCTTACTAAGAGATCAGAGACTACATTTCATTACTTTATTATTAATGTTTTTATCGGGACCGGGTCCACCATAAACCAGATATAGAGATACAGAACGGGGGTAGGAAAATAGTAGCTTCATTACCCGGGTGCTAGGCATAACATAGTACGTACAAAGTCCGAGGTACAGGCCCAGAATGGCGGCTCAAATACAAAGATCACGACCCAAGGAATGGAATAGGGTCCAAAATAATAACTAAACAAGCTAAGGGAACTAATAAATGGAATCAAACTAAATATATTACCAATAGGACTCAAACATTGGTGTGCCAACAGGGGGTTGAAGACTCAAACTAACAGACCAGGAAAGGATTGATAAACTAAGGGGTGCCTTTAAAAGGAAGGGAATGGTGCCTATTTATACTATTGAGGGATTCACAGATGGTTGACAAATGGACGGCATCTGGCAGCCTTCATTCTGGACCACACATGTGTCCCCACACTACCTTGCTTCCCGCGCTCTCCCATGCATAAGTGGAGCTTCATACCCTTTAGTCTACAAGATCTTGATTGGTTTGGTGGTTTAGGACTTGTGTTGTTATGCTTGAGGTCATAGGTTTGATACCGCCTAATAATAATTCTAATAATATTTTGCTCCAAACTTCCTTCTTTCTTTAGCCCAATAGAATTCCATTATTCTTATTGGACCAACACCTCACCCATAAAGATGGACACCCCGCTCGGGCGGTTGGGCCAAGACTTTCCAAATAAAATGGACCCCTAGGATCCCATAGCGCCATCACAAGTTCCCCTACTTTCTTTAGGGATTTGGATGCCTGAAGGAAGTATAATTCAATACCACCACCTACTCCCTTTTCCAAACTCAAATTCCAGTTCCCAAATTTTCCAGATACTTGTCGTTTCCCCCACCATCGTACGCTGCTGCCACACACCATCCTCGCCATTGCTACGCACCATGCCATTACCGCGCGCCTCTGCCGCACGTCGCATGGCCTGCGTCTTCACCCAGTGTCGAGAAGTCAATGTGACTCCTCTATTGTCGTGTTTCTTGGATATTTCTTGTACTGGACGTCTTCCTCGCTACTTGGTACTCGGCTTCATTTGAATATTCACTGGATGTCTTTGCTGCTTCACATTGTTCTCCCTTGCTGCTTTGTTATGCGCTTTTGATTTCTCCATGCTGCAACTGCGTGCGCCTCTTTTTTTTTTTTTTTTTTTGGAAGACAAGAATGCTTAGTGATGGGGTGTGGACCTCGGCCCAAAATAATTGAAAGAGCGAGGAAGCCCAAAGAAGAAAGTGGTAAGGAGAAGCCCGAGGAAGAGAGTGGAGGCCCAAAAGCAGTGAGGCCCAAAAGAGATCTGGACCGAGTCGTGGAGTCGGCCCGACTCCGGGGTCGGTACGAAGACTCGATCGGCCGAACAATGAGCCATTGGAGGCATTTAAGAGAGCAGTAAGAGCCCCGTCAAAGAATCGTTGGGAGGCCCAGTAACGGTAGCCCAACGGCCCTTAGAAGTAACTAGTCATCAATCGGCCATTGAAGGCCCTAAATGTATTTTAAAGACTAATGCAAGAAGGGCCTACTATAAAAGGGCCCCTCCACAAGTTGTAAAGGTACCGAAACCAGGCTAAAAGAATAGAGAAACACGTTTTCCAGAGTTATTCATTTCTTTTTATCTTTGAAAGGTGAATCCACCGACTAAGGTTGTGTTGGACCTACCTGGGCCCAAAAACCCTAAAACCAACACTTAGCCTTTTCTCACTATGTTCTTTTTGGGGGGAATACATTTTTTCCGTTGTTTGGCTAAGCGCCCTCTGTTCTCTTTGGAGGGAATACATTTTTTTCATTTTTTGACTAACTGCCAGAATGCCTGCGGACCACCTACCTTGCCTTGCCAATCCGCGCATATGGGTTGCCTCCATACTAACTCACATGCCCCAACTACCAAAATGCATGCGGACCGCCTACCCTGTCCAGCGAGTCCGCGCATGTGGGTTGTCTCCACGCTAACCCACATGCCTCAACCACCAAAATGCATGCGGACTGCCAACCCTGCCCTGCTAGTCCGCGCATGTGGGTTGCCCCCATGCTAACCCACATGCCCCAACCACTAAAATGCATGTGGACTGCCTACCCTGCCCAGCAAATCCGGTTCGCGCCTATAGGCTACTTCATGAACGGAGCAGAACCACTCACTTAAATGGCTGTAAAGCCAGCATGCATAGCACATAGGAACACATAGTTGAGGTAGCCATGGGCCAATGATGCATATCACATAGGAACACATAATTGAGGTGGTCGTAGGACAAGCATAGCACATAGGAGCACATAGTTTGGGAAAATAAAAATAATATTTACTAAACTAAGTGTAAAAGTGCACTAACCAGGGTAGCGTCTCAATGTGCTAAGTGTGTTACCTCGTAGGGTAGCTCATCCTGCGAATCAGCCATTTGGACGTACCTCGGAACCTTGCTCAGATAAAAAGGGACTATAAACACGGGCTAATCGTAGAGATCCCCACAGACGGCGCGAATGATGGTTTTATCAGGTCGGGTCCACCATAAACCGGATATAGAGATACAGAACAGGGGGGGGGGGGGGTAGGAAAATAATAGCTTCATTACTCGGGGCGCTAGGAACAAAATAGTACGTACAAAGCCCGAGGTACAGGCACAGAATAGCGGCCCAAAATAATAACTAAATAAGCTAAGGGAAATAATAAATGAAATAAAACTAAATATGTTACCAATAAGGCTCAAACCCTAGTGTGCTAACAAGGGCTTGAAGACTCAGACCAACAGGCAAGGAGAGGATTGGTAAACCAAGGAGTGCCTTTAAAAGTAAAGGAAGGGTGCCTATTTATACTGTTGAGTGATTCACAGATGGTCGACAAACGGACGGCATCTGGCAGCATTCATTCTATACCACACACGTGTCTCCCCCACTACCTTGCTTCCAGCGCACTCCCATGCATAAATGGAGCTTCCTGCCCTTTAATCCATAAGATCTTGATTGGCTTGGTGGTTTAAGACTTGTGTTGTTATGCTTGAGGTCGTGAGTTTGATACCCCCTAGTAATAATTCTAATAATATGTTGCTCCAAGCTTCCTTCTTTCATTAGCCCAATAAAATTCCATTATTCTTATTGGGCCAACACCTCACCCATAAAGATGGACACCCCGCTTGAGCGGTTGGGCCAAGACTTTTCCAATAAAATGGACCCCTAGGGTCCCATATCCCCATCACAAGTCCCCCACTTTCTTTAGGCATCTGGATGCCTGAAGGAAGTATAATTCAATACCACCACCTCCTCCATTTTCCAAACTCAAATTTCAGTTCCCAAATTTTCCAGAAACTTGTCGTTCCCCCACCATCGTACGTTGCTACCACATGCCATCCTCGCCACTGCTACGCGCCATGCCATTACCGCGCGCCTCTGCCGCACACCACACGTCACATGGCCTGCTTCATCACCTAGTCTCGAGAAATCAAGGTGACTCCTCTATTGTCGTGCTTCTTTGATGCTTCTTGTACTGGACGTCTTCCTCGCTACTTAGTACTCGGCTTCATTTGAATATTCACTGAATGTCTTTGCTACTTGACATTGTTCTCCCTTGCTGCTTTGTTCTGCGCTGTTGATTTCTCTATGCTGCACTTGCGTGCGCCTCGTCTTTTTTTTTTTTTTTTTTTTTTTTTTTTGGAAGACAAGAATGCTTAGCCATTTCTCCCTCTGTTCTTTTTGGAGGGAACACATTTTTTTCATTGTTTGGCTAAGCGTCATCTGCTCTTTTTGGAGGGAATACCTTTTTTTTTCATACTTTGGCTAAGCGCCCTCTGTTCTTTTTTTAGGGAATACATTTTTTTCATTGTTTCGCTAACCATCAGAATGTCTGCACACCACCTACCTTGCCCTGCCAGTCCGCGCATGTGGGTTGCCTCCATGCTAACCCACATGCCCCAACCACCAAAGTGCATGTGGACTGCCTACCTTGCCCAGCGGGTCCGCGCATGTGGGTTGTTTTCAAGCTAACCCACATGCCCCAACCAAAAAAATACATGCGGACTACCTACCCTGCCCTGCTAGTCCGCGCATTTGGTTTGCCCCCTACTAACCCACATGCCCCAACCACCAAAATGCTTGCAAACTGCCTACCCTGCCGAGTGAGTCCGGTTCGCGCCCATAGGCTACTTCATGAACGGAGCAGACCCACTTAGAGGTGAGCAAACGGTCGGTCGGTTACATAACCGATTGAAAAACCGACTGTGATTTTTGACCTTCATAACCGACCGAAACCGACCGAAAGTAATACTATAACCGACTATCGGTTTTTGGTCGGTTTCAATCGGTGACCAAAAAACTAAAATTTCACAAACTATTCAACAATTAATAAATATAATTTAAACTCTCCAAAAATCAAATACCAAATATACTAATCAAATGCAAACTGCTAAAGTCACAAAAATTCACACGTTACTTGGCAGAATGATTTTTTTTCTTTGCAAATCAACTATTAAGTTTAAAAATTAAAACTACCTAATCAAATGCAAACTGCCAGAATGTATGTTTTTATAACTTATAAGTTTAAAATTTGAGTTTTTGATGAAGTTCTAGAATTTGTAAATTTTCCTAATATACACAGCATCCGTTGAATTTAGTGTGGCATACACAACATCCATCTCTTAGTAGTTAGTACCCAACAAATCATCATTTTTTGTTTGGTAGCTTCTTCAGTTTCCTCAAATGAACAACACCTGAGAGTGAAGAGGCGAGGAGGATTTGATGATAACCATGTGATGGAATAATATAATATGCATGCCATATTATTACTATTATTATTATTGTTATTATTATTATTATTATTGTTGTTGTTGTTGTTTATAATAATAATAATATAATATATTAGTCAAAGAGAAGAAGTCAGGGCAAGAAAATAGGGAAGACTATAGGAAGTAAAAACTGCACAAGAATGACATTATATAAAGATTTCGGGGCCAAGCACCGTGTGCTCAGATGGCACCCGGGTTGGACTCCCATTTGGGAGGTTGTGAGTTCGTGCTTCAGTGGAGGCAGTATTGGCTCTATGTGCTTCAATAGGTCGAGAAAGTAGCTATGAACAGATACTACATTGTAATAGAGTATGCTTCAATAGGTCGAGAAAGTAGCTATGAACAGATATTATAATAGAGTATATATATGGATTTTGGATTTCGGGCTGCAGACAAAAGGGATCACGCCAGTGTTAAATATAAAACCTCTTCATTCTATGGCCATGGCCTCCCTATGTACGTGTGCTACACCTACAAATATAATAAAGGAATAAACCCGTGGTTTCACCGCTTTGGTTTCCACGTTAAATCCTTGTGTTTGTTTACTAATTCCTTGCAATCACCATTTTATCATTCATATTTTCTTATGGAGATTATTGTCCCATATAATTAATTACATAGCTCGGAGTCAATTTTCTCCATCATTGGTGCAAATGTTGAGAGCGGTTGTACAAGCTCGAGTGTGTTCTCCATCTCATAATGACAAATTACGTTCTTCATACTACCCTCATTTCAATTTATCACCATTGAAATATAGTTTCGATTACCGGATTATGGTGAGTGGTGACTCCGTACGTTGACGCCTTCCGTCCCTTGGACGGTTACCAAGAGCGATATGCTTTGCCAGTGCTCCAATTGGTTTTCTCCTCAGTTACCTTCCACCTTTTCTATTCT